GCGCCGCCGCGCTTCCCAAGCGGCGCACTTATCCAGTGCGCCACCGGGCCGGCCCGGGAAATCCTATTTTGGTAATTGAAAGATGGGTATTGGGGGGCCGGCCTGTGGCTTACTTGGGAAAGTGTGGTGCTGATAACACCAAGGCCATGGGTTTGGATCCCTATATGGGGATGGCCGGTTGGCTCACTTGGGAGAGCATGGTGCTGACAACACCAAGTCAAGGGTTAAAGATTCCCTTACCGGTCATCTTTTAAAAAAAGAAAAATGGGTCTTGAAGAAGTGATTTGATTGTAGGACCATGCAGTAGTGAATGGATTAATAATGGTCAGGGGCATGGTTCTTAGGGCTTTAAAAGGAGGGCACATGAGAGGTTAGTCTCTCTGCTCTGCCTTATTCTGCCATGTGGAATGCCTGGGTCACTGTCATCACCACCAAGACCCTCACCAGATGTGTTCCCTGGACTTTGGACTTTCCAGCCTCCCAAACTGTAAGCAATAAATTTCGTTTTCTTTATAAAATACCCAGTTCCAGCTATTTTGTTATAAACAACAGAAGCAGACTAATACAATGGTTGATTATATTTACTCTTCAAATTTTTTTTTTTTTTTTTTTGGCTTTTTGTTTTGTTTTGTATTGTTTTGGTGACTGGCCAGTATGGGGATCCAAACCCTTGACTTTGGTGTTATAACAGCACGCTCTAACCAAGTGAGTGAGCTAACTAGCCAGCTTACTCTTGAAATGAAAACCAGCTTTGTATTCTGGAACAAACCCCACTATGTTGTGATGTATTATTCTTTTTATATATTATTGGGTTCAATTTGAGGATTGTTGAGGATTTTTCTGTCTGTACAAGGGGTATACTGGTCTACAGTTTGCTTTTCTTGTAATGACTTTGTCTAGTTGGTATTAGAGCAGTGCTGGCCTCATAAGGCCAGTTGACTAGTGTTCTCCTATTTTCTGAAAGAGATTGGGTAGAGTAGGTATTATTTCTTCCTTAAACATTTATTAGAATTTACCAGTAAAACCATCTTCATCTGGAGTCTGCATTGTTGGAAGTTTTTAAAACAATGAATTCAATTTCTTGTCATAGATATAGTACTATTCAGGTTGTCTTTTTCTTGAATGAATGAAGGTTCATTTCATATAAATTTTAGAACATAGAGGTTCACAGCCCCCTTATTATCCTTTTAGTGTCTCCAGGTGTTGTGGTGATAGCCCTTCTTTTAGTCCTGATATTGGTAATTTGTGTCTTCTTTCTTTTTTCTTTGTCAGTCTAGGTAGAACTTTATTGATTTTATTGATATTTTCAAAGAACCAGCTTTTGGCTTGACTGACACAATTCCTCCATTGTTTTTCTGTTTTAAATGTCATTGATTTCTGCGCTTAATCTTTATTTCCTTCACTCTGCTTGTTTTGGACTTAATTTGCGCTTTTCTAGTTTTTTAAGGTAGAAGCTTAGATTACTGATTGGAGACCTTTTTTCTTTTTTAATATAAAAATTTATAGCTGCAGATTTCCTCCTAAGCACTGCTTTAGCTATGTCTCACAAATTTTGCTATGTTGTATATTTTTTTCATTCCTTTCAAAATAGTTTTGATATCCCCAGAGATGACTTCTGTGACTCATTTGTTATTTAGGAGTGTGCTGTTTAATTTCTAAATATTGAGACTTTCTAGAGATATTTCTGTAAGTAGGTAAGTAGGTTCATAGTATCATTCAGGTCTTCTGTATTCTCACTGACTTTTTACTTGTTTTGTCAGTTTACTGAGAGAGGAGTGAAGTCTCTGCTTACAATTGTGACTTGATCTATTTCTGCCTTCAGCTCTATCAGTTTTGTTTTATGTATTTTTGAAGCTCTGTTAGGTGCATCCACATTTAGGATTGTTATGTCTTGGAGAATTGACCCCCATGCCACTATGTTATGTCCCTCTTTGATATTAATATAGCTACTCAGCTTTCTTTTGGTTAATATCTTTTTCCATCTGTGTCTTTTGTATTAAAAGTGAATTTCTTATCAATAGCATGTAGTTGGGTCCTGCTTTTTTAATCCAGTCTTATAATTGATGTCTTTTGACATTTACATTTAATGTGATTATTGATGTAGTTGGATTAAAATATATTATCTTGCTTAGCTTTTCCATTTTTTTTCTTTTTTTCTGCCTTCTTGGATTAATTGAGCATTGTCTATGATTCCATTTTATTTCACTATTTATTATTTATACTAGTTTTTAACTATTTTAGTGGTTGAATTAGGGGTTTACAGTATACCTCTATAATTAATCAGAGGCCACCTTCAAAATAATATTCTGCTTCACATTTAGTGTGAGGACCTTAAAACAGCATCCTCCCAGTTCCTCTCCTACCATTTATGCTCTTGTTGTCATACATTTTACTTTTATATAGGTCGTAAACATAGAATACACTGCTACTAGTTTTTGCTTTAGACAGTTATCTTTTAAAGCAACTAAAAGTAAAGAGAACAAGGAAATTCATTTATTTATTCCATGTCCATTGCTCGTAACCTCTTTGTATAGGTGCCATTTTCTGTCCAGCATCATTTACTTCTGCCAGATAAACTTCTTTTTGACATTTTTCGTAGTGCAGTTCTGCTGGCAGTGAATTCTGTCTTTTTGATAGTCTTACGGACTTTATTCCTCCTTCACCTTTGGAAGATCTTTTTACAGGGTGTGGAATTCTGGGTTGACATTCTTTTTCTTTCAGTCAGTCTGCTGTCTTCTGGCTTGTGTGTTTTGTAACCAGAAGCCTGCTGTGATTCTTACCTTTGTTCATCTGTATGTAATGTGTCTTTTTTTTTTTTCTCTAGCTTCCTTTCTGTCTGCACCACTCTTCTCCATTTTCTCTTCTTTTTCTATGGTTCCAGTTATACCTATGTTAGACTGTTTGATTTTGTTCCACAGCTGTTCGATTCTGTTTTTTATGCCCTTTTTTCTTTTTGTGATTTAGTTTGGGTAATTTCTACTGATCTGTCTTCAAGTTCACTGGTTCTTTGTTTTGTGTCATCTACAGTTGAACTTTTTAAGGCATTCTTTATCTCTGTTACTGTGTTTCTCATTTCTGGCATTTCAATTAGGTTCGTTCTTATAGTTTCCATCTCTGCTGAAATTACCAATCTGAATTTTCATGGTGTCCACGTTTTTCATTAGAGCCTTCAACATATAAATTGTAGTCCTTTTAAATCCCCTTTGTTATAGATCCATCATCTATGTCATATCCTACTCTGGTTCTATTGATTCTTTGTCTCTTGGCAGTGCATTGTTCTTTCCTTGCCTTTCATACATCTCATAATTGTTGAAAACTGGACATGTCATATAGGACAGAAGAAACTGAGGGAAATCTTCTTTTTTTTGCCTGGAAAGTTTTTACACCTTTCCCCTGCTAGGCCTTTAGTGTGGGGAGTTGAGTTCATTTTTCTATCCTGGAGTTGAGATATTTCTGTTGTGGTTACTTTCTGTGCCCCACAGGCTTCAAGTTCTCCTAGCAACACCTTGGTTTAGGGTGGGTGGCTCTGAGCCCATGGTTCTTCATGTCTGCTCCATCTTCCCGTTCAGGTCTTCCCTTTGAGCAGCACCCCAGGGAGCATCTGTCTTGACACTTGTACAGCTCTGCCAGCCATATTCCACTGTCACTTGTCCTTGGGTTCTTCTTAGCCTGTTTGGCAGGGGAGGGGGGAAGTGGCCAGAACTTCTCAGGCGTTTTGAGTAAGCTTCCATCTTAAGCAGGCACTGTGTCCCTGAGTCCCAAAGCTGCGGCCTTTCCGCTGCCCCTGCCCCTCCCCCAGGTAGAGTGTTTTTTTCTGTTCCATTCTCCTGTCTGCATTGACTTTCACCTGTGCCGAGGGTTGAAAGAGTTCATTCCCTCCCCCCTCGCTAAGGTTTTGTTTCATAGGGGAGAAGAGTCGAGGTGGGGCTGCCTGCCCCTCCACAGCAGCTGCCCTTCCCCTTCCCCAGGTTATGCCAGCAGGGTCACTTCTCAGGACTCTCACTGGTCTTTTAAGTGAGCACCTGGTGGTATCCTTGGAGAAAAGCTTGCAGGGAGATGTTAGCTCCTCCAGTACGTGCAACTCCCAAGGTCCTCACTCTTTCACCCACCCTCACACGTGCTACCAACTCAAGTATTTTAGCTAAATTCTTACCAGTGTCTGGCTGCATCTGCCCCAGTTAAGGAAGTACCACCCGTTTCTCTCTATATCAGCTTGTCTCTCCTTGGATTTGACTAGTTGGTTGCCCTGATGAGTTTGAGAAAAGCCATGACCTTTTAGTTTGCCCTCCTGTTTTTGTTCCTGTAATGGTGGGTATGACACTTTTTCTAGCTCTACATCCCTCCAGTAATTGCTGTTGAGTAATTCTCTATAGCCTAAGGAGAGCTCTTATGTGGTGAGGAAGTCTCAGTGTTAGTACACTGTCATCTCATTATTGTTAATTCTCAGTGTCTACTCCACATCCTGGTTCTGGTGTTTACACCATATCCTGGTTCTAGGACACAGCAAGGTATGGGGATGTGTTTGCTTAAATTTAGCAGATATGTTCATTTTTCTAAAGAACCAAAAGGCAAAGCAGATAGTGCATGTAGAAATACACAGTTCCAAAGGAACTCATGGCTTTTCCTGCTTAACAGTGGGTAAGTTTAAAAATTTTGTATTGGTTTCCACAAGGTGGCAATATAAATATGTGATATTTGAGAAACAGTAGTAATTCATTAATTTTCACAAATCAGTGGTTCAAGTAATTGACTGAAAAGTAATAGTTTCAGTCTTATTATGTCTTTTAGAATTGTAACAGTCATATGCATGACCTAAGTAATTTTTATTTTACTAGAGGGTTTTCTAGCTTTCTAGTTTTTCAGTTTACTGATAATACTCTGTTGAAAGAGATTTTAATGTAAAGTTTTCATGCATGATGCATAAAGTCCCATTTAGCTAATTTGTGTTGATTTTTCAAGGTTTATTACATAAAAGACTATTAAATGTGGTACTGTGTTAATACAATATATATGGTGACAGGTCAAAACAAAAATATTGGATACAAAGTCAATGACTATTCCACTGATGTGCAAATGAAAACATCTATAATTTTATTGTTAAGAGGAAAACATCCTCTGCCGCAAGCCTAGTTATTTTACCATGAATCAGTGGATATTCCCTTCTGTAATAAAGGAAAACGAGACCTTAAAAGAAAGGAAATGTTAATAAATTTGTTTTGTCTTGACTGTTTCCAGCAGAAGGGGACAGTACAACTTAAGTGCCCAATGGTGAGAGTTAGATAATTACCAAGGTAGGCCCAAGTGCTGGAAGGAGGAAATAGCCCATATATCCAGCAAAAATCTACTTGTAGCCTGTCAGCATAGTTTTGGGCCCATTAAAAAAAAAAAAAAAAAAAAAGTTGGACTGAATAATCAAATTCTTAATTTTCTTAGATTCCTATAGAATTACATTGAAATCTAAGAAAATTTAGATGCATTCAGTCTGTTAAAGTAAATTGTTTTTATTTTCAGATTATGCAGGCACTTCATTATAAGACAACTGCAGTGGCATTGTCCTGCTAGAATTGCTAGTTTTGTTTGTTAGGTTGTGGGTTTTTGGGTTTTTTTTTTTCCTTTTTGGATTAAGAGTTTATTTGCTCTTATACAAATCATGCCTTCCTTAATGCATTTTCATCAATAGTTTCACTGAACTATAATCCCTATTCGAGAGTGTTTAGGCCAGCCATCAGATGGGAAGGTGGGTCCTGTGGAGAAGAGGTGAATGGAGCCAAGAACAGAAGAAAGGGGGATTCTTTACAGCTGGTGCCCTGGCCTGGTGCAGCGGGAGCTCTGCACTGCTGGGTGCTCTCCGGCAGGCCTGACTGAGAATGGAGCCAAGAACAGAAGAAAGGGGGATTCTTTACAGCTGGTGCCCTGGCCTGGTGCAGGGGGAGCTCTGCACTGCTGGGTGCTCTCCGGCAGGCCTGACTGAAGGGCACTTGGGTGAAGAGAGAGAATTTGCATGCCATAGAGGAGAAAAGAGCATAGCATTTGGAATAAGAAAATATATTTTGACCTTGACCCAAATTATTAACCCTCTGATCCTTAGCTTTTACATCTGTAAAATAAGCATACTATTCCTTGCCCTCTGAGAGGACAGGCTTGCTATGGGGCTTAGACATGGCCATGCACATTGTGAGGGGTCACATCACCTGTTACCTGTTCGTGTGAGCCAGGGGTCTGTGTTACTTCTGGACTCATTCAAAAAGGATTCTAGTAATGAACTGCCATGTAATTACTAGTCTTTCCATAATATAAATATAATACATTGATCCATCATAAGGGGTAAATTACACAGCAAATTGTAAACGAAAGCAGTTTTAAAATGGGGTACTATCTGGTACTCTGCAGCAGAGGGACATTCTTCACACAGAAGCTGCACTGACATTTTTAGAGTCAGTTGAGGTGCAACAGTGCCTGTAAGTCAGGAGACTTTGCTTAAAGTCCTAGGTGCTTCTAGCTCTAGAGATAGCAGCCCAGCTGCCCGTTTAGACATGGGCTTGTTCGCACCGTAGGAGGTTTTTAGGCTGGGCTTGAAGGAGAGAGGAAATGCTGTGTACCTTCCCCTATGCCCGAGCCCGTCTCCACTGTATTTTCTTCATGGTGTGTATCACCTGACACTCCATTTTCTTAGTTGTTTACTGTATGTCTTCCCCTGTCCCCTCCGCCAACTCTTACCTTAGTAGACTGCAGATCCATGAAGGCAGGGATTCTTTTGTCTGTTTTGTTCACTGCCGAGAGCAGTTCCTGGTACATGGCAGGAACTCAGATATTATAAAAGGAATGAACATTGGTTTTAATTGATGTATTGAAATAAATGCTAAAAACAGGTCCACAAGGAATAGATAGAAGGAGGTAGGTATGGAATAGGCATTAATGGAATACATGCTTCTCTGTGAGAAGTGACAGTTGGGCTGATGCTGCTTATTTTTCTGGCTCCATTTGAACTGTTGGTGGGCACCACTGTTCTATTCATGTATCTCCTTTTTTTTTTTTTTAAACCTCAGCAGTAACATTGAAGAAGACGTAGTCCTCAAAACCAACAAGCAGATTTACTCCCAGCTTTTGAGAGCGACTGCGAACAAAAGTGCAGCGCTTTTGGAAAGAGTCGATGTCATCATCCGTTTGCTGGACCAGCTTGCTCCCGGCAGCGGGGCAAGTGGTGGCGCCGTGCAGTGACTTGTGCACACACCTGTGTCTGCAGACGCACTGTTGGTGCCCTCTGAACATGGGAGCTGGTGTGTCCATTTGGTGCTTCGTGTCATTAAATGTGAGGGAAATGTCCACTTAAAATAGGTGCAGCAGTGGAAGTACGGGGTTATCCTTGCCCACAACAGATAAATTATGGTTGAGTTCTTTGGCTTCATTTGAAGTGCTGAAATCCGTCAAACTTAAAGCTTCCAGCATGTTTCTTTGAGAAGTACATAGTACGGCAGTATTAATAGACTTGCTGTGATGCAGTTACACTTCTAAATATTTTTGAAGTATGTTAAGCTACACGGGTTTAAGATGCGATTATTTTGGATAAAATGTTACTTTCGTCAAGAGAAGTTTTATCCAAATGATTTTATAGTTCAAGTGGGTTTAAGAAATTTCTAGTACATCTACAACGTCTCCTACATTGCACAGAAAAAAAGCGTGCCCTTTTTAAGCTTCAGTGCAGGATTTTCAAAGACTAGCCATTGTGCAGTTCTCTGTATTTAATGCACGTTCTGAAGGGACTCACTTTTCTTTGACTTTATATGATAGTTGGTCAAGAATAGGTACTACCCTTTTTTTCATTTTAAACTTGAAAATGTGAATAAGGCAAGGAAACTATTTTGAATAAATTATTTATTTTTAAAAATGTCTTTGTATTTTTCCATTTTGCATTTTTCACACCGAGTTTTGATTTGAACTCAGTTTAATTAATAAACTTTACAAAGTAAGGATCAAAACATTAAAATTCTGCCATCCACTAAATTCTCTCTAGAATATTTTACTTATTGCTGCTGCTTTGTGGATCTTGTCCAGTTGCATACAAACATACTTTACTGTTTTCAGTGCCTACAATGTACAAGGCTGTTTGTCTTTCATAATTAATACTCTCAATTTCAAGAAGGGTAGTATATAACATGTAAGTCAAACAGACTCAGTCGTGCCAGGGTGAGGGTCTGGATTCCTGTTCATGACACTGTTGTAGATAAGGCCACGGCTTGGGCCTGAGCGCAGGAAGAGGTGCTGCCGGATCCTTGAGGCCTCCAGACAGCTGATGTGCCCTGTGCAGATGCTGCCCCTCCCACACCAGCTACACGTCTATGAAACAAGAGGAACTATGCTAGAAAATGGTCTGGAATAAACTGGTTTTGGTTAGCTCGGCTGGTTAGAGTGCAGCCTTACAACACCAAGGTCATGGGTTCATATCCCCGTACCAACCAGCCACCAAAAATTAAAAAATAAACTGGTTTTAAGCTGAATTTTTACAAGCCACTTCCTTTTACACAAGGATTTGCAGGTGTTTTCATTGACGGTGAGTTGACACCCATCATAGCTTGACAGAATTCTCTCTTGCCATTTGTCCACTTCCTTATTTAGATTGCGTTGTCCTTGGGTCGGATCTGCATCTGTTTGCAAAAATTAATCTTTGAAGCCCTTAAAGTTTTGCCCAAATTCTAAAGCAATTGAACAAAATCAGCAGTGTCTCGTTTCCAGATTACATCGATCTGTTGCCTCTTGCAGTAGGGCCACACGCCGAGTAAAACTGTATTCTGCTGCTTAAACCTGGACACTTCCATTGGTTATATTGTCTCCTGGATTAATAAATTCAGAAAGGATTTTCCTTATGTAGAAATGAGCTGGAGTTAGGGACAGTAGAGGTGCTGATCTTGTCCCCAACCCCTATCCTTAGCCAAACAGCCTATCAGTCAACAGGAAAATTTGTTTTTAAGCAAGAAAATATAAATTCTAGCTGTCTTCTCTTGTCAAGGCAATAACATGACAGTACCTAAAGAGAAAAAAAGATCCTTTTAAAATCTGTTTGTAATTACCTGATTTTAATTTAAACCTTCTTAAAGAACCTTTGTTTTAATCAGTTCTTTAGATGAAATGTGATATTTGTGGCCTGATCATTGAGGCTACTGAAACTTTTAATTTCATTGCCCAATTTTTTTTTTCACATAATTACATATGACATTGGGATTTTTGTGTCAAGAAGAGCTGAGAGCCATATAATGTAAAAGATAAAGGGACATAATGACTATCCTAGATAAAACGGATACTGGAAAAATAAAGTTACCCAATTAGCTTCAAGAGTTTTATTTTGGTAGAATGGCCTTCAGACGTGTAAAGTATACTTTAAAGTATAAAGTATACTTCAGTCATAAAGTATTCACTGCTTTGCAGGGAGAGGAGAGCACTAAATGAATTAGAGTGGACCAGAAAAGCTTTTCAGGACCACTTCGGATACAGGCCTGTGTGTTCACACGGGAGAACTCGTCTGGCCCCAGGGCCAGAGACCACGCCCGGGATGGAAAGTACCGAGGGCACGGGGCTGGAGTTGGGAGAGGCGGCAGGAGCTACCACTGGGTCTGACTTTTGGCAGGGCACAACTAATGAACTTTAGTTTCTTCGACGACAGATTTGTACAGCAGTGTTTGTCCTGCCACTCTGACAGAGGTGTGAGGATCAGGAGAGAAATACATGTGAAAACCTTTTCTTCACTGTCAAGTATTAGAAAAATACATCGTTATAACTTGGAGTTTGGATTGAATTCTGTGACCTTTCCCAGTCAATCCCTCAGTTTTAAGTGCATTAAAATCATCTCCATGCCTTTGGTGGCTTGTCTTTTAATTATTTGACTCATGGCTTTAGCTGCCTTCCCAACGCCCAAGAATGGGAGGGGAGGGGCAGTGTTGGGACCTGGCTCCAGAGCACCACAGAGAGCAGGAAAAAAGAGTTAAAAAGACAGGTTCCTCAGGATGCTTGCTTTTTTTTTTTTTTTTTTTTTTTTTTTTTAGCCTTTCCTTAAAAATGAGTGAAGTTATTTGGTGACTTATTTTTTGTGTGAGCATTTGATTTTTAAATCACATATTTTAAAAACTCAAGTAATGCTTTTTCCATTGGCTTTTAACTTAGGGAGCCATACTTGCTTCGGCTACTAAAATCTGGTTTGTTGTCTTTGTAAAAGAAATCAGACTTTTGTAAGAGATATCCTATGACTACCTCCACTTTCCTCTGTCTCATTACATGTTCAGTGTGGAAGTGTGGACATCACAAAGGTCAAACCACTTCTCTGAAATAGACTTTTTTGGAAGTAAACCATTAGAAGGCAGCCGAGAATTCTGTTGTCTGTCCTTGTCATTAACTACTTTCCAGTATGCATTGCCTTTGAAAAAGAAAATGGAGTTGTGTGCATAGGAGTAGTAAGCTGAATCTATATTTCTGAAAGGATGGTCTTGTGGTTTTATTGCTGGAAAAACTTCAGTAATCTTCTTTGGATAAGAATTAAGTACTTGATTTCTGTTAACATCAAATGCAAATACCTGCAAAGCAAATTAGATAGTGAGACTGGCTTTTCTGAAAAATCACTGATTTTTTTTCAGGTTAATTTATAGCAGTGAGGTTAGTAAATCTGACTGCACCAAATTCTTTAGACTTGAGGTTATTAATGATTTTCCGTCCGTAATTATCTGCCATTGCTATATAGATCTGAAGTAAGTGAGAACAGCATTTAACTAGGCACTGGTCATCTGACCAGTCTAGGTGAGGGTGGCAGAAGCAGCACTAGTGTAGAGAGCCTTCTACTTACAAAGGACTCCTTGAAGAAGTAAATTAACTGCTGTCTTCGGTGATAAAAGGCAGTGTCTAGGGGACTTGGGATGCCAGGAAATCCTTCTGAAATCGATTTGGGGTAGCGTTTTCCTTGTTCATCTTCTGTGTGGGCCTGATCCTTGTCACTGTCGTATCTCCAATATTGATTTCCTGAGAGCCAACCAAAAAAGTTTATGTGGCTTAGTAATATTAAATCACAGGGAACATGACAAAGAGGACAACTTTCAAGAAAGGTTCCAGGCAGTCATGGATGATGTTCCGCCGTGATTCCAGGAGAGAGCAGCACTTACAGCATGTGAGTGAAGCCTCACTCAAATGAATGATTTTCCCAGGCCTCAAACTACTTCTAGATTTGACCCCAGCGATCCGTTTTCTTTCCCGCTCACCAGTGCTGCAGTTAGAATGTTGGTTGCCTTTCACAGTGAATCCCAGCCCACGAACATCATCCTACTGACTCATCAAAAGCAGAAGCAAAACAACAAATATAATGTGGTTTTTTCACCTCTCAAATTTTTTTCTTCTTCCTTTACACTCTAGAGATCTTCATTTTATGTATTAGTCAGCCATGGGTTGGCCTGAATCATTTTTCTGTCCTAATCGACATAAGTCCTCTTCTTACAGAAGAAATCATGATGCTTACTGTTGGATTACACCTTTTTCTAGTGTTTTAGAATCATCTAGTTCCACCAACACCCCCATTTTACAAATAAGGAAACGAGTAAAGAGAGTGTGAATGACTCACCCAAATTTAGACAGCGAAGCGTGAGTCGGGGGTGCAACCCAGGACTCCCGAGCGAGACTTTACTCACTGTCCTATGAAGTAATGTTTTGTAATTTTGCTCCATTTTGTTTCAAAGTCCAAATGCTAATTTCACGCTCTGAAACAGTAGGGGATTATTCTAGACTTTCCTTACTGGTTCCTAATCCTGAATATTTGGCATATTGCCAGCATACAATAGACTAAATCCACTGAGTTAGATGTTTCTGTGTTCACAGCTCACAGAACACATCAAGCAGTTACATTCTTTAGCAACCAAATATTCCATATACTTGGAAAAGTTCACCATTGAGAATAAGTGACATATGTCCAGTTGGAGATGCAATTCACTCTAACTGGAATTTTTTTTTTTAATTTAAAGTATTCACAGCAAATTAAATTTAAGGTGTTTTTAAAGCTCCAAGAATAAAATACAGCTGTATTATAGAAGTCCCCATGATGACCTAATTCAGTAATTAAGACTGTTTGGATGGTGCCAACCTAAACTCCAGCTGGGATTTCTCCAAGCACTGAAAGATGTGCTTCCAAGTCTGAAAGACCTGAACTGTAAGTCTGCCATAGGTAATTTTTTAATGAAACTAAACTAAAATAATTCTTCCTTTGTGTGATGTGAAGGAAAATTAAGACCAAACTTACATATAGGATCTTTATGAGAAAATTTGCATATAAAGTTCCTTCAGTTTGGCTCTTGCCTTGTTAACTCTTTCTGAATAACTTAGAGCAATAATGGTTATATTACTTACATACATTACAATAATGGTTATAAGGATTCGAGCAGAGGGAGTGTGCACAACTTATCTCTGGGTGGGAAGGGGAAGGGGAAGGAAAAGGCAGTAGCTACGGCATCGTGTTTGTGACTGGACTCCGTGCTGATTGGTATTGCAGAGGCAGCATGCCTACAGGAACCGGGCACGCAGTGCTTGACATAAGGCAGGGTGTGGACAAGCAGCAGCCAGACCTGCTCTCCCCTGCTGCTCACTGTGACCCCCAGACCCCAGCACCCCAGCTTCTGCCTCCCAGCAAAACACCAATCTTCCCTGTTCGGAATTGGCACTGATTCTTCACTGCCCGCTGGATGAAGTCCAGCCCCTGACCCTGGCTTTTGAGGCCAACCCGGTCTTCCTGACCTAATCTCATCCCAGGTGAGTCCCCTCTATGGGCTCAGCTGTGTCACAGCTCTAAGGCTTTGCTTCTGTCTCTTTTCTCTGACCGCTCCCACTTTCTCACACCCATGCCCACCTCCCCACGGCACACACACCATTCTGGATGCCCTTTCTGGGAACTCAAGATCTGGGAAGTCAAGCCCTGACTCCTGGTGATGCCAGCATCTGATTCCAGGTAGCAGTGATTACCTCTTCTGCTTGGTCTATGCTTTAAAAACATACTTCTATTGGAAGGCTTCCAAGATATTTTGTTCCTCTGGAACCAAATTAAGACTTCTGTAGGGCAGGGCCCTTATATTTTTTTGGCAGCCACCTCAGTGCCTAGCAAAGTGTGTTCACTCATTCATTCATTCAATGACTTAAGTGTCTTCTTAAAAAGATCTAGGGATACAATTCAATCCCTGTGCTCACAGAACTTAATTTCTGTCGGATGGAGCAGACAGAATTTAAACAAGTAGTTACAAGGGCATTACACTAGATTCCTTGGTAGGGGCTCAGAACAGTTATTATGAATGTATTTGTTTAATAAGAGGAATGAAGCCATACATTCAGAACCTTTACCTTTAAAAAAATAACGTTCATCTCTTCTCCACGTCCAGATGTGGATGAAAGCATCTATGTTCTGTGTGGGGAGTCCATGCCAGCCAGTGGGGATTTGGATAGGATCCCCGTAGCGTGTCCTGTTGTTTCGATTTTCATAAAGCCAGTACCAGCTGTTGCGGAAAAAATATGTGCTAAATCTCACCATCACTTCCCCATATTGGTTTCTCTCTTTGTGAATCCAGTCAAATGCAGTATCAAATGATCCTTCACATGAACCTTAACAAAAAAGAAAAATCCAGCCATTTGTCACATGGTGCATAAAACAACTGTTCTACTTTCACGTGTGACTTGAACAGAGACCAATGCAAAGCTGGTGTTTTCTATTAAAACACCTTAAAGCGAGACACCATGTAAGATTGGAAGTAGGCTGAGCAGAAGGAGCTGGAGGGACCCAGGGTGCCAGTAACAGTCCTGCCCACATGACTTATTCTGGCTTCATGATCATAGTGCTCTGGGTCACTCTCAAAAGTGTCTCAATTTGGATGCTAAGTTACGACCACCCTAAAGAGAGCTAGCTGACACCTCTTTTGATGGACAATCTGACTTCACTAGGGGGAACGAGTTTGGTTCTGGGCACACACACGAGGGGTTTCCAGTGGGGGAAATAAACGTGTCCTTTGTTGTCCCCAAAGATGCTGGGTACCGAGAAGAGAATGTGAGTAGAACAGAAATGGGGATGGTCTCTGTTGGGGACCTTTAAATGGAAAAGAGAAGAATAGCTTTCCTTTTGAGGGGCTTCTATGCTAAATCACTAATTACTTTAATTAACCAATTAACCACCAGGACTTTGGTCTGAACAATTAAATGAAGATTAAAGCTTACCCTGGCTGGGCTAAGCTCTCTTTGCCTTGGGACTGCAGTAAACTCCTTTCAGTGGCTTTTGTGGGCTGCTTGGCATGGGTGGCCCAGCTGTGTCTAGAAGACCACTGTGTTCTCCCCTTTCCTCCCAGCCAATGGAAGTGGTGCATGGAAGAGAGGACACAGGAGGGACTGCCCATGGGGAGGGTGCTTTGCTCTCCCCCGTGGTTACAGTCTGGGCATGACCACTTTCAATCAACCGAGCTAAGCAGCCAGCCCACATGAGCACTTTCCACTAAGAGAACGCATCGGGGATCGAGAGGGCAGCTCCTCTTGGTCAACATCACTGTACAACTTTGCTCTTTGGGGACCAGCCTTCCAGTGAGGAGTGAGTGGGGTGCCGCTGTGCGCTGGAGCACCGAGTGTCCTCTGAGCTCTGGGGATGACCTCCCCAGCACAGTCTTACCGTACAGCCTCTGAATTGCTTTCCTGTCTGACCAGTCCAGCTCAAACGCAGACTCCTGTGGACTGTAATTGGGCTGCATTATGGATCCCGTCCTGTAGATGTGAGGCAGGCCGAGGACATGGCCAATCTCATGCACGGCCACCTAGAAGGGGAACAAAAACCCTCGGGCTGGCTGGCCTGGGCTTTGGAGCACCACTGGGACCCACCGCTCGGTCGCAGAGGGCAGGCGGTGCTTGGTGCAGAGCACAGGGAACCAGCGCCCTTCGCCCTGTCAGCCCCAGGCCACCTACTTTGAGAAGGCTGATGCCCGCGTCGCTGCTGGGAGGCGTGAAGTGCTCGTCGTCGTCAAAGTGAATGTCTCCCAGGCGCCAGGCGTGTGCAAACTCCTGCCCGCTCCCGTCAAAAACCCGAGGACAGCCCAGGTGCCGGCCTGGCGGGGGACAGGGGCCGGGGGAGTGAGACCCAGGCACAGACCCGTCCCCCCAGTGTGGCCGGTGCAGTAGGAGTGGGGCGCTGGCCAGACCGGTGGCTCCTAAGACCTGACGGCCGAGCGGGTCAGGAGGATACCGGATCTAGGCCCTGACATCTCTCTGGGCTTTCAACAAACCGTGTCCCACGTGCTGTCCCCTGGGAAGTTAGTCCAGGGAGACCAGCAGGGCAGCCGTGAGCAGCTGGGCTCACAGATGGGCCGTGGAGACACCTCGGGTGTGCACGTGCAGCCGGGGACAGGGACGGGTGGGCTGGGGTCAGCGCCACACTCGCCTGCCTGTCAGGGCGGCTTTGATGGGCACACTGAGCTCTCCGGTGACCTGAGTGTCCCATGGGGCCGCTCCAGGCTCTCTGCAGTGTGACAAGCCCGTCCCCTTCCCAGTGAGTTCTAATAAGGCAACATCTACAGAGGGTTTAACGCTGCCCCCGCTGTCACGGGTGTCACCTGAGCACAAGCCCAGGAGGTGGGGGTAGGGCCAGGCTTCTGCAGGTGACAGGCGAGGCGACGGCCCCACCACGGCGCCGTGGCCTGGGGCCTGCAGAGAGGGCAGGGCGGGTCACGAGCCTGCCCCTTCGTACCTCTCCCAAAACCCAGCTTGATGTCGACGGTGGCCCCGGGGGCGGTGAGATCCTCGCGGAAGTGCAGCGGCGTCACCTCGCTCCACATCCTGAAGGCCAGTGTGAAGATGGCCCTCTGCTCGTGCAGCGACAGCTGGCCGCTGGGGGCCTCGCGCGCCAGCCTCCAGCTCAGGGTCTTCTTGGAGAAAGCCCTGGCGGCGCCCGCGGCCGGCATCTCCTGGTGTGCGTGCATGAGTGTGCGTGCATGTGGGTGCGTGCATGTGTGCGTGCGTGTGCGTGCATGAGTGTGCGTGCATGTGGGTGCGTGCATGTGTGCGTGCATGTACGTGCATGAGTGTGCGTGCATGTGGGTGCGTGCATGTGTGCGTGCATGTACGTGCATGAGTGTGCGTGCATGTGGGTGCGTGCATGTGTGCGTGCATGTACGTGCATGAGTGTGCGTGCATGTGGGTGCGTGCATGTGTGCGTGCATGTACGTGCATGAGTGTGCGTGCATGTGGGTGCGTGCATGTGTGCGTGCATGTACGTGCATGAGTGTGCGTGCATGTGGGTGCGTGCATGTGTGCGTGCATGTACGTGCATGAGTGTGCGTGCATGTGGGTGCGTGCATGTGTGCGTGCATGTACGTGCATGAGTGTGCGTGCATGTGGGTGCGTGCATGTGTGCGTGCATGTACGTGCATGAGTGTGCGTGCATGTGGGTGCGTGCATGTGTGCGTGCATGTACGTGCATGAGTGTGCGTGCATGTGGGTGCGTGCATGTGTGCGTGCATGTGGGTGCATGAGTGTGCGTGCATGTGGGTGATCCTGTTCTTCTGGCCTTCTCCTACCTGAGCATCATGGAGGTCAGTGATGGGCTTGGCCTGGCGCAGGGGCGACAGCTGCAGGTCCGAGTGGTCCCGGCTATGGAAGAGTGCCTCGGGCTGGGCTGGCTGGGGGGCAGCAAGCCAGCAGAGCAGCAGAGTCGGACGGAAGATGGAGGCAGCGAGCATGGCCTGGTCTGAATCTCTGCCCTCCCTGCCTGGTTCCGTCCCCGTCGTCTCTCCTCCTTAAGGAGCATGGCCTGGAACTGCTTTTATAAGCAGCCACAGAGGGAGCTTGCAAGTTTCCAGGCATTTGGCACCAAGCCCTGAAGTGTGTCCCCTAGGAGGCCACGTGGCAGGCCCTGGAGGTGCCGCCTTTGAAGGCCCCAGGACCACCTCTGTTGCTGAGGTGAGAACTCCTCCTCCCCTGGCCTCCTGTGTTTACAGCATCCTCAGGTAATTACATCCCAAAGTTGCAAATGCCTGTGGATTCCACTTCTATGGTGATGTACATGTGGGCAAGTTTGCTGCCTAAATGAGCAGTGGAATTGCTATGAATTTCCACAGGTTCTGTGACCGAGGCACAAACCCTCCCCCTAACAACACGCAGTTCAGAATGGGGCCTGCCTCTACAAAGCATGACTTAGTCTGTGCATAGTTCAGGTCAACTTTTTTTTCTTGGTGGGCTGGGGTTTGGGGATTTTTAGTTTGTTTCTCGGACTTTTTTTTTTTTTCTTTCTGTTTCTCTTATTGTTTTTGTTTCTCTTTATAAAAAAATATCTAAATTAGTAGGTATTGTAAATTTTTAAAGTACTGAGAACAAAGGGGAAATCTATGATTCATTTCAGTGACCATTCTTGCAGATACATATGTATACGTGCATAAAGAAGTATTCGTGTGTGTGTATAATTTTACATAAACTGTATGTTTTCTATTCTAACTCAGCAGAATGTTATGGGCACTTCTGTGTTTCTGAATGTCAGTATTTATCATCCTAGTTAATACTGCATGTTGTCCCGTTGAATGGGTTAAGATTTTTATATGAGGGTAAACTAGAACCACCTGAGGTTCTAGAACATACCTTGGCCCACACCTCCCACTCGGTTTCCCCTCATGGAGAAGCCAAGAGTCTCTCTGGTATCCCGAAGACAGAGCCTTCCCCCCAGCGGGCTTTCATTCCAGCAGATCAAAGCTGATGGCCTCCAGAGAGTCCGGGCTGACCAGGCCACAGCTGTCCACGGGACTGACCGTAGAAATGTGGACACGGTGATTACACCACTTGCAGGCCTGAGCTCTAAGACCCTCCCGTTCTCCATGATTTCTCTCTTGCCTCTCTCCTGGCCAGAGCCTCTAGTGGGAGTAGCCGGGTCCCTGAATGGCCATGTGGAAGGCCACCCTGGAACACTTGATTGATCTGCGAAATGAGCAAGAAATAAACCTTTCCTGTATTGAGCCTGAGATTTGGGGTTGGCTGGTACAGCAGTTACACACCCTGACTAATAACAGCCCCTAAACCCTCACTGCCTCCCCAGAAGGATCCTTGACATTCTTCTCCCTCCTGTGAGCTTTGCCTCCCACCGAGGCCACAGCTCGCCCTGCCCCCTCGCCAGTGGAGGCTGCACAGGTCCAGGGGTAGGACTCCTGTGAGCTCATGCCAGTTTGCTGCGTCACCTCCAGCCTTGCTGGTGGCAGTACTCTCCTGATGGCCCAGGAGCCCTGTTCTCATAGAATTCTTCTGTAGCCCAGGTTCTCTGGTTGTCCTGGCAGACCCTGGTGTCCACAGGGAGGAGAGACACACTGCTCTGGCCTCTCTGCTCCTGACTTCCTCCCATCGGAAGATTGTCACCTCCACTCCATCTGAGCCACCCACTGGCCTGGCCTCACTGCCCAGTGCCCCTAGCTGCTGCCTCTGGAACCACAGGTGCAGGTGGTCCCCTCAAGACTGCTGCCCACTCTCCTTGGGTCTCATCACTCCCTTGTCCCTCTGGTGCAGCCCTGTGACCCCAGCCAGACAATAGCCTGAGCAGCCTTCTGCCTTATCCCAGTTATCAGCTTCCTCATGCCCTTGGTTTTTCCTCCGTCTAACTTGTTGCACTCTCTCTGTCTTCACACAGATTTGCCACCTCTCTCCCCTGGGTGACAGAGATGCAAAGGATTACTCAAAGCCCATTTCCTCTGAGCAGTGAGACACACCGAATGGGTTAACTTCCCAGAACCCTCAAGAGAGAGGCATTCCTCCTTTGGGAAGTTAACACCGAACTGGGGCTTTGTCTCAGTATTTATTCTCCAGCCCAGAAAGTTACAGAAAAGCAGCATAGGTGGAGTTATGGCTAAGTATAGTTTAACAATAGAGGCTGGTAACATCAGTGAGATAACAAAGTGACATTCCATAATGCAATTTGCAAAAGGTTAAGTTGATCCACCAACAAAAGCTTGTTCTTAGCAAACATTTTCTTTCCCTACAGCAATTTCCTTAGTAGGTTTACATAACAATCAAGTAAGGTTAACCTGCACCGAGGACATCTACCCTTTGAGCCAGCAATTTTGCTGTGTTACAATTCTATATCTATATCAGAGGCTATAGCCTGAGGAAAGTTTCCTGTCTTTTGTAAGGTTAACATTTCTACATGTAATTTTAAGAAGTTAGGCTAAACCTGAAACTGCAGGGCTTTGGAAACCAGGCCCTGTGAAATACACTTGCTTTATAAATGTTAGAGTACTCCACACTAACTTAGATCTATGGACTAATTTCAATCACCCCCTTGCCTGAGAGCCTTCCACCACCCTCGCAAGGAGGACCCCAGCGCCACTGGGCCTGGCTCTTCATCTCCTCCCTTCTCCAGGCTGCTTGTTGAGACCTGCCAGAGAAAATCAATGCATGTGACACTCCAGTTCCTTTCATCTGACGGGCTCCTGCACTGCTGGGCAGCCTCCCCATCTCCCACTTTTCCAGGGGGCTGACCCTTAGGGGGTGGGGGGCAGAGGATGGGGAGGAAAAGTAGGGCAGGTGCAGGTCCCGCTGCAGGAACTGCTACCCCAGCGTGTGTGGAGAGGCTGGAGGAAGTGAGGTAAGGCCCTTCAGGCGCTGTCATTGGCAGATGAGAGCTTGGAGTTTCATGTCACAGGTCTGATAAGAACAGCACGTGTGGACATGTGGGCTATCCATTACTGAGTCATTCAGTCATCATTCAGCAAGTACTGATGACTGTCACAGGGTCAGGGAATAGAGAAATGACCCTGACCTCATGGAACTTACATTCTAAGTGGGGGAGACAGACAATAGACAAAAACAGTTCAAATAGTGACAGCTGCTGATAATATAATTAGGGAAAGTGAGTGCCTTGGGGTGGGGAGGGGAGCCAACATTAAGGTGGGCAGGACAGACCTCTTGTGGAGATGAAGTTTGAGCAATGACAGAAAGAGGGACACAGTCACATGTGACTGGGGATTTGGGGGGTTAGTATATTTTAGGCAAAAGAAAAGACAAGTGCAAAGGCCCTGAGGAAGGAACGAGTTGGGCATGTCTGGAAGATAAGGGAGGGCAGTGAGGCTGGATGTGAGTGCAGGGGAGCGAGGTGAGAGGTGAGGACAGAAAAGAGAGCAGGCAGTGGTCACATGCTGAAGGTTCTGTAGGGCAGAGGACGAGTTTGGGTTTTATTCTCAGTTCAGTTGGAACTTTCTGGGTGGAGAATGACATGCCTGACTATTCTCAGAGAAACTTCTGAGCAGCTCTGTGGAGGCCTGAGGTTGCTGTAGATGGGACCTCCTGGGTTGAAACCTTTCTGGTCCCCGTCAACTGTTCCATGTTGTTCCGCCTGTGCCGCAGCCCAGGACCCTCACTGGGCTTCAGGACAATGGGCTTCCTGGGAAGGGCACAGTCCTCGAATGTGACCCAAGGGGTCTATTCCTCGTTGGGCCTCTGGATCAGGTGTTGGGCCCCAAGCCGATGCTGCAGTGGCAAGGACAGCACCTGTGATGCCAGGAAGTGCTGCTCACGAGGAGCCTGGACACCCACCAAGGTCCGTGCACAGCCCGTGTTGTGGCTGTTATAAAATATGGATCCAGGCCGTCCTGTCCATCCCACTAGCTCTGGCCAAAGACTGATTCTGAAAGTCAGATCTTAAAGCTTGCATGACAGCTATCCCTATTGGGGACAAGATGCTCTCTCTCAGGGATTGCTGTGGTTTGAATGATTGTGTCTTCCAAAATTCATGCTGAAACATAATCCCAGCACAACAATATAAGAGGTGGGGCCCTTAGGAGGTGATTAATTCCCTCATACAGATTAAGGCCCTCATAGGAAAGGCTTCAGACAGCACGCAGCCCTGTGCCCTTCTGTCTCTCCCACCACAGGAGGACACAGTATATAAGGCGCTGTCTTGGAAGCACACACTGGGCCTCACCAGACCTGAATCTGCCGGCACCTTGATGTTGGACTTTCCAGCCTCCAGACTGTGAGAAAATAAATTTCTATTACTTAGATATTAACCAGCCTCAGCCATTTTGTTATAGCAGCACAAATAGACTGAGACAGAGATCACAGGCTTAAGGACTCATTATTGAAGGGACTTGTTCCCTAAAAAATTTTTTAAAACTTTTAGTGTGCACTTGGCCTCCTCAGCTCCGGATGATTAGACCTGGCAAAGTGTGCTCACCATTCTCGGAGCATTTTTCCCCGTTATCACTAGGCCTTTGAATGTACCGGTTTCTCAAGGCTCAGAGCGTTTGATTAACCAAATTGCTTATTCCAGGTGAGTTGGATTTCAAGGAAATCGGCCAGATTTAGGAAGAAAAATGTCAGAGGAAGGTGTGTGATCTACAATAAAGACAGAATGAGAAGCAAGGAGCTCCTGGTCTGTGCAGACTACTCTCTGTCTCTGACCCTGGGGAAAAATTTGGAAGCTTCTAGAATCTCCTTGAACCATGAGATGCATGACCTAGTGGTCAGTGGGAAAATTAAAAACTTTTTCCTAAAACATATTATCACAAAATGGGTTTGTACATTCTCAGTACTGCACAACATAACGTTTTGAAACAGTCGTTCTGTTAGGAGATCATTGAGCCTGATGTACAGTGAGGGGTCAGTTCTGACTGAAAGTGAACAGAGGCCCAGGTGTTCGGGAGTAAAACCACCAGCTGCAGCGCAGGTCTGCTTGTTATTTATAACTGCACATTACCACCTGTGAAAGGGTAAAGATTCTTTCAAATTTCTCTCATTTTGCCTTTCAGTCCCTTTCATCAGGGTTGGACTGGATCCATCTCCTCTTGCCTGAGCTGGGAGCTCTCAGGGTGATCCCTTGTTCACTGCCAGTGGCCTGGAGGACAGTGAGTTAGGTCTTTAGGACTCCAGGACAGCTGTAAAGGGGCTATAGTTTGGGATAATTAACTTGGAGCTCTTTTCAAAATGTTTTTCACTTTATTTGGAGTGGAGGAGCAATTTTCCATGCAGGTGAAATAAGATGGGGATCCTGCCACTTCTCTTCAACCATCTGAGTGTGGAAAGTTAAGCCTGTGAGTAGATGGCAAGCCCCAGGGCCTGGGGCATGCAGCCTGAGCCCCTTCCTTGTCCTGCCTGCACCCGGAGGGCCGGCAGCGACCAGGTCAGACTGTCAAATCCAGCACCGCGTTATGGCTGGCTTTCCTTCATCTGTTTTATCCTTATTTAACATTATTAAAGTATTTGGGAAGGAAAGGATTGGATAAAATTTTGGAAGAGGGAGAGAGTATAATCTATAATGGCGTGATTTGCTGCAGCTGACAATCTCCAGACAGCAGTAAGAAACAGCTTTAAAACTATAATCTAATGCTTTTTATATCTTTTCTTAAGAACTTTGAAGAAAGATATCAAAATCAATAGCATCAACACGAAAGGCTGAGACAGTGGAAGCAGGCGACCCTGAGACTGCCCTGTGTCCTCATCTCCACTGTCAGGCTCCCAGTGAGGAAGCCTCAGAGAACAACATTGAGGCAACTGTCCCCCAAGAGGGTGACTCCCCGTGCCTCTTCTGCCACCATCCAGTCCTGTGCAGCACAGACTGTCTATACCGAGCCCAGCTGCCTCAGGACCTGCCTGTGTGAAAAAAGCGAAGGAATCTAACCTGGCAATGCCAGAAACAAATGCTGTTACAAGTTGATTTGTTTACTAGCCGTACGCCACCATCCAGTCCTGTGCAGCACAGACTGTCTATACCGAGCCCAGCTGCCTCAGGACCTGCTTGTGTGAAAAAAGCGAAGGAATCTAACCTGGCAATGCCAGAAACAAATGCTGTTACAAGTTGATTTGTTTACTAGCCGTACTTACATGCTAATTTGAGACGATAATCATAGGATTGTCTCACCTGATTAAGGCCATATTTATATTGTGTATTACATAGTGTTATACACTTTTTTTTTTGTGACCGGTAAGGGGATCGGAACCCTTGGCTCGGTGTCACCCGCACCGTGCTCAGCCCGTGAGTGCACCGGCCATCCCTATATAGGATCCGAACCCGCGGCCTTGGCGCTCCCAGCACCGCGGCGCTCCCAGCACCACTGCGCTCCCAGCACCGCACTCTACCAAGTGAGCCACGGGGTCGGCCCGTGTTATACACTTTTTAATAAATGTGCAGCTCTGAAAAATCCTCCATGCCTCTAGTAAGTTTTCCTTCGTGGCAGATATTCTTTCCTTTTATTTATCCACTTTGGGACATGAGGCAGCTATCGTGCCTCATATTGCAATATAAAAAAGACAGCATAGAAAATAAAATGAGAGTTGTAAGTAATTTAACAAAAAGGAATAACACTATGCTAAATGCCTGGAGTGAAACAGTAAAAACAGCCGAGAAACACATTTAGATTGAAGCTTCCTAGCAGCCTGGGCAAAAATGGAAACTTGGTGTCTCATCTGGCAAAATCCATCCACGGTGCTATGTTTTGCTTAGACTATGTCAGAGGAAGACTCTATATGAGACCCTGAGAAACCCAATGAATGTCTTCAGCCTTGAGTTTGCAAAAGACACAGAAACCAGTCTCAAAAAATGGGCAAGTTATCCATCAAGGGTTTTTTTGTTTTTTGTTTTTTTTGCAGCTGGCCAGTACAGGGATTGAACCCAGGACCTTGGTGTTATCAGCGCCATACTCTAACCAACTGAGCTAACCAGCCAGCCCAACATCTTTATTTATTCAGTAAGTTTTCAACTAGTTTTGCTCTGAGAGCAGGACCTTCTGATTAAGGAGATGCCCTCAGTCTGCTGTTCAAACTCAGCTCTTCTCAGGGCAGTTGCCAAGGTAATAGCAATGGTGCCAGCAAAGAAGTTGAGATTTCCCAAGTGTGATGGTTAACTTTATGTGTCAACTTGGCTGGGCCAAGGGGTGACCAGATAGCTCTTAAAACATTACATGGGTGTGTCTGTGAGGGTGTTTCCGGAAGAGATTAGCATTTGAATCAGTGGACTAATTCAAGAAGAGCCACCTCACCAATGTGGGTGGGCACCATCCAACTCATTGAGGTCCAGATAGAACAAAAGGTGGAGGAAGGGCGAACTCTCTCTCTTCTTGAGCTGGGACATCCACATTCTCCAGCCATTGGACACTGTCATGCCAGGTTCCCGGGCTCTGGACTCTGGGGCTTGCATAAGCAGTCCCCTCCTTTCTCAGGCCTTCAGACTTGGACTGGGAATTATACCATCATCTGGCCAGGTTCTCAGGCTTTCAGACTCAGACTGAATAAAACCACCAGCTTTCCTGGTTCTCCAGCTTATAGATGGCAGATGCTGGGACTTCTCAGCCTCCATAATCAGCAATTATGAGCCAATTCCCATAATAAATCTCCTCTTATCTATCTATTCTATTTATCTATGTATGCATCCATGTGTCTATCTATGCATGTTATCGGTTCTGTTTCTCTGGAGAACTCTGACTAACACACTGGGAGAGAGAAACCCAGGAGCAGACTAGTGTCACAGGTAGCAGAAAGCTCTCTGCCCTGGCACAGATACGCAATCTGGCTGGTTATGTGGGATTCCTTTCTGCCTCCAGAAATATGTTTTTATAGGATTTGGAGTGTTTCGGTAGGGGGTGGGGGAAAAGGGTAATTAACGCCCCCAATCCAGATGTTAGTCATGGAATGGGCACTCTGTAGAATAACTCAACTTGGTGACAGGCCCTGCCGGTGTGAATTATAAAGAATTCTCCATATGAAATAAAGCCCCTGTAACCTAGGTTACGCCACAAAACTCAACTCAGTGCTCTGAACACATCTGCTGCCCCCTTTCCCATCTGGTTCTGGTCCCCCCACCCCCCGATACTCCTGTAAAGCTGCTACATATGAGCCACATCTGAGATACTAGGGTGAAGACATGAAGGGGCTCCTTCCGTCATGAGCCATGCCCGAATTTCTTTGCTGGCTTGCAGAGCAAGTTGCATTTCAGAGGGTTCAGGAAGCTTAAGTAGTGGAGAAACATGGCACCTGGGAAGAGGGGGCAGGAAGGAAACACCTTAGGCCCAGGTCCCACTTTCTACCCTACCCTGACTTGTTGGTCATCGCTGAGGAGTCACTCTGCCCTTGGAGCTTGTCACCCATCTGTCAAGAGAGGTTTGAGCTCTCGCCTCCTAATGTTTCCATTGCAACTAAGAAAAATGCTGCTACAGCACACTGGAGGTAGAATCAATAGCTTAATGTTGGTGATTAACTAACAATGTAAAATATTCTTATTGATAAATGAATTAATACTGTTCTCTGCTGTGTCTCAGTTGAGAAATTTATCTAGGGACAAGTGTCACCAAACGGGCAAAGGAGATTCGAAACATTACTCCTGACACCTAAGGAGTCCTAGGCCTCTGCTAGGTTCTTAGGGAACAAAGATAAGTGCAGTTCCTGCCCTCCAGGGGCCCAAAGACACCATGAAGAGAACAAAGTCACAGGCTCTGGATTTCTTGAATACAAGAGAAATACCAACTTTTGTCCTGTTTAAGTCACTATGATTGTGAGGTTTTCTGTTAGTATCAAATCTAATCCTAAACGATGAAATAATCAAGCAGAGTAATCAAGTCATGGTGGGCCTTGCAGGGCCAGGCAGTGAGCTGGCCAGTTCTGCAGGGAGGGCCCACCCAGCCTGAGCCTTTAAGGTAACTAAACCCATCAAGGCCACGTCCCTCCAGGTACTTATCATTTTGCCGGAAAAAGAAAACAAAACTCACCATTAACTAAACTCGGAAATTATTTATGCGAGCACCTACTGTTTGCACAGTATTGGGTTGGTCGAGCTGAGTGTCCAGTTGGGGCAAGAAACATGCTGTGAATCAACTGGCTAAAAAAGTCACATTGCAATGGGGGCACCAGCACAAGGCTTGGGACACAGCAGGAGGAGGAATTAGTATGAGGAGGGGCAGGTGGGACAGGGGACGCTTCCCTGGGGAGAAAGCAATGGAGCGCAGCCTCACAGGGTCGGGGAGGTGGTGGAGGGGAGGCCCAGGCTGCTGGAGGGAGCGGCCAAGGCTCAGGGGTATGAGCACGTGTGTGCTGTGGGACAGGCAGTGGGCGACCAGGCTGGAAAGAAAGGCAGGCCCTGTGTTTTTTAAATCCAGCTGGATTTCTTTCTTCCTTCTGCATCACCTCCAGTGTGCTTCCTTCTCCACTTCACACCACACTAGAGGATGTTAGTGATCCCACTCTGGCCATGATGGACCCAATTCAGGCAATCCAGTGGTTTTCAAATGCTGTTGCATACTGGAATCACCTGGAGAATGTCTAACAACTCCAGTTGCTTGGGTTTTACCTAAAAACCAGTCCAGTAGGTTCCCTGAGGGGGGGGACCTGAGCAACTTAGTTTTCAAAGCACATCATGTGGCTCTGATGGGCAGCCAGTTCCCACCTCATGGTCTAATCTATTTCACTTTGATACTGTAGAGACAAACATGTGTACAACGCAGTGCTTTCCCAAACTGTTTTACTTAATACTCTGGGACAAGTGGTCACTCCAAGCAACCATCACCATGACCCAGTTTCAGAGCAACCCATAGCCCCAACCATTCCCTCGGGCCTGCTTGCATCAGGCCTGTGCCCGTCCCTGCACATGTGTGCTTCTCTCAGCAGACTGGCCTAGTCCTTCTGTGGCGCTTCTTCCCCAGGATGTCACTGTCGAATTTCTACCTGGTCTGCTGCTCACTCCAACTAGCAAAGCTGCAGATTTCCCCATTTGTTTCCTATCATGTTCACAAAATTTAGATGAAAAAGACCAGGGCCCCACAGGGACCAGGGCAAACCTACATCCCTGGCCAGGGCCCTGGGAAGGATGAAAGCAGCTCCCAGTCACATGGCCACAGGCTCCTATATGGCCGACTCAAAGCTCCAGCAGGTTCCCAAGCACAAATGCTTCTCAATTTGTTGTCAGACTTCGGTCAATTTCCAGAACCCTGAAATGGTTATTTTTGAGAATTTTGTCCAGTTCTGCCCTTGTTTTCTTTTGGAGAGGATGTGCCTAACCCTTCACACCTAGAAGTCTTTCACGTGTTCAATTTTAAATTGCAAAGTGTACAGCGTCTGCCCTGAGATCAGAGCAGATTCACTGCAACTTCCTGCACCGCTTGCATCTGCGATCCCAGAGTGACTCTCAGGTCTGTGGCAGTGGCCTTGATCATTGAAAGTAATGGAAAGAAAAGGTTAAATAAATAAAAGCCGAGAAGGAAAACTATGTTCACTGCACT